AATGTTATGATAAATCACAGAGAAAAAAAATGTGACAATGAGTGTGTATATGTCCATGAATGACTGAAAAATTGTGCTGAACACTGGAATTTGACACAACACTGTAAAATGATTATGAATCAATAAAAAATGTAAAAAAAAAATCCATTTGGTACCCTTAAAAAAAATCTTTAATATAATAAGCCTTATAAATCTCCAAGAGTATGATATAGTAGACAACACTGGCCAAATTTATTTGAACATGGAATCCTTCTTTCAAGGACTATCTAGTGAAGTTTGCGATATGCAAAACATAGTTTCAGAAAGTTAGTATAGATCAGGGATTGGAAACTAGAGCCTATTTTTGTAAGCCTACAAACTAAGAGTGATCTTTCCATATTAAAAGGTTGTTTAAAAAACAAAAAAGAATATGCCAAAAGAAGAGACTGTATGTGGCCCACAAAGCCTAAACTATTTACAATCTGGCCCTTTAGGAGAAAGTTCGCTAATTCCTGGTACATACTGCTCACTGAAGAAATTTCAAAAAGCTGCTAGAGGCGAAATGACTCATAACGTCCTACTCCAGGGAAAATGTCTATACCCAGAGAACAGGAAAACTAACGAAAGGTCTTGAGAAATAATCAAGAGAGAAAAGAGCAAGTATCCAGGGAGAGAAAAGAATCTGAAAATAAAGCATAAGATGAACAAAGTTTATAAAATCATAAAAGAGAAACACTGATTACTCATCAATGATAGAGAGTGAACTTTTTGAGGACAGAGACTTAATGAGCTTCACACCTCAGTACCCAGTACAGCAAGCACCAGCACATTACAGACAATCAATGAATGTCTGCTGATCTAAACTTACATGAAATTCTGAAATACTAAAACCAGGGACAATCCTTTGAAATTGAAGGACCACATTAAATTTAAAGACTATTTGAATATCTGAAATTACAAAACACATCACAAAGTTGACATAGTGAAAAAATACTCATACTTTTAAAATTGAAATATAGTCGATTTACAACTATAGTAAGTGTGTTAGTCTCTGGTGTACAGCACAGTGATTAAGTTATACATATACATATATATTATTTTTCACATGCTTTTTAAAAAAAATTTTGGGGGGAGGGGAGGTAATTAGGTTTGTTTGTTTACCTTTTTTTTTTGGAGGAGGTACTGGGGATTGAACCCAAGACCTCGTGCATACTAAGCATGTGCTCTACCACTTTGAGCTATACCCTCACCCCTTCACATTCTTTTTCATTATAGGTTCTATAAGATACTGAATATAGTTCCCTGTGCTATACAATAGGACCTTGTTGTTTACTCATACTTTTAAAGATAGATATAGTCACAAAAATATCTATAGCTGGTTAAGATAAATCAGGATGTTGGGGTCATGTTTATCATTAGGGAGAACTAACCTTTGCTTCACTACAGAAATAGCTCTGGACAAGATAAGGGAATCATGGGGCTCATCCAATAATGTCTATCTTTCATTCCTATCAGTGTATTAGAATTACAGTTTGTTTTTTATTCTGTCACATCAAAATAAACTCTGTAAAACCAGAAACATGTTTTACATTATCTATAGGGTTTGAATCTGCAATGAAGGACTTTAGTAGATAGTAAATAAAAATAACATTTCAGATTTATGCATGAAAAACCAAAGTAATTCAAAACAGATAAGCACTCACTTTGAAGCAAAAATCTCTATTCATTTCTAGCCATATAGAAACATTAGCAAGAGAAAGTGCCCTCAAAAAGGTTCACTTGCTCTATTCCCACACAGTAAGTGAAGGAACCTGAAATATCACGAAAGTTTGAAATTTGTCAGAAATAAGAGTCAAAATCATGCTTTACAACAAAACAAGAATTCCACTTTTGCCATTTCTATTCAACATTGTACTGAAGGTTCTAGCCAGGAAAATTAGAAAAGAAAATGAAATAAAAGCCAGATTGGAAAGGAGAAAGTAAAATGATCTCTATTTATAGATAACATGATCTTGCATGTAAACTAGTTTTCTTAATTTCATGTTCAGATTTTTCATTGCTAGTATACTGAAATTCAAATGATTTTTGTCTATTCATCTTATATCCTGAAGCCTTACAACACTCATACTCTAATGTGTTTTTGTGGATTCCTTAGGATTTTCTATATGTAAGATCATGTTATCTATAAATAGAGATCATTTAACAATAAGTAAATTGAATGAACAAAGTAGTAAATATATTGAGAATAATGAGAGCCAAGTTTTTAGCTGACAGAAAAGGTATTTACAAACATGGAAAGGGGGAAGGCCTGAAAGAAGCTGAGATGTACTGGAACTGGCATTATCATGGTGAACTTATGGTTTTATACATGCACAGATATATGAATATTTACAAATGAATATGTGTGTGAATACATACATGTATATACATACATATATTTTCTAGCTCTATTTACTGAAAGTGTCTAGAAGCAGCAATATCCCAGTAGCAGTGAATACTCTGAGTGTCTAATCTTGGTTTCTAAATATTGTCCTTCACTAAGAGGAACTGGAGCTTCTTGGAGAAATGGCTGATTCTAGAACTAGATCAGAGAAGTATAAGCTTTCTTGCACTTGAAATATTTTATTATGCCAGAAAGTAAAGAAATGCTCAATGAATGATGGGATCATGTTGAAAGGATGGACACAGGAGGGATTTCTACTTTCAGTCATGACAGAGTAATTGTTACCAAACTTGCCCTCCTGCCATAAAGACCTAGAAAACTGGACAAAACATATGAAATAAAGTCCCCAGATAATGGACAACAGGCAATGAAAAACTGTGATTCAGAATAAGAAACAAGGTGAGCTCCATGGTCATCCAGGCTTTCTGCCTGGAGGGCTTTCTGAATAGCAGTACAGGGAAGGGGATCACAAGCAGAGCATGACCATACACTGATTTAGGAGACAGAGATCAGAGTTTAGAGAGGTTGATGCAGCTGAGATTTCCAAGGAAGAGTGCCAGAGGACAGAAATTTCCTTGTATCTTTGGCTGAATACCCCTAATCTTTGCAGGCATAATATGAGACTCCATGAGTACAGTCAAAGAACTAATAAGAGGATGTGACATAATAATAAATACATATTTGGTTGCTGACCCCAGGTCTTGACACAGGACTCCTACAACCCCTGGAATTTCCTGGGTGATAGGAATTTGTTATATGAGGCAACTCTTGGTGGGATCCTGTATAGCGTTAGAATGGGGACCTTTCACCAGAAAAACCAAGCCAGGAATAGAAGCTTGGAACATTCAGTCCCACCCCCTATCATCCAGGAAGGGGAGAGAGGCTGGAGGTTGAATTAATAATTGATCATGCCTATGTAATGAAGCCTCTATAAAACCCACTAAACTATAGAGGGGGGGTTGGAGTGCTTCTGAGTTGGTAATGACAACCACATGCTAGGAAGGTGACACCCCAAACTCCAGAGGGACAGAAACCTGCACTTGAGACCCTTCTGGATCTTGGCTTATGTACCTCTTCATCTGGCTATTCATTTATATATAAGAATACAGAATAGAACAATTATATTCTTATATTATATTATATATTCTATTCTTCTATATTATAATAATATATAATATTCTCTATAATAAACTGGTAATAGTAACTAAAATGTTTTCCTGAGTTATATGAGCTATTAAAGCAAACTACTGAACCTCAGGAAGGGATCATGGGAACCCCCAATCTGTAGTCAAGTCAGACTGTGTAACCAAATCAGTGGTTAACCTGAGGACCTACTACTTGAGACTGGTGTCCAAAGTGAGGGGCAGTATTGTGAGACTGAACCCTTAGCCTGTGGGATAGTTAGTGTCAGAACTGAACTGACCCATAGGACACTCAGTTTGTGTCCACAGAGAATTAGAGAAGAGCTTTGTGTAGAAAACCCACGCTTTTGGTATCGTAAGTATTGGGAGCAGAAAAGCGGTTTTGCTTTAGAGGAGTTGTAAACTGAACAATTCTCAGAGCTTACACAAGGCTGGATGAAATTCTAGTTTTGACCATCCAAAACGAAGAGACTTTGCTGAACAGCTAGGACATTTAGTTGAGAGTCAAGAAGGGCCATACTCTGGTAGTAGAGCTAAACTATACCTAAAGGACCCAGACCTTTTAGACCTTCCCTACAAAGCTTAAAAACAAGTCTCAAAAGAATCAATTGAATTGGAGATAATTTAACTACTTATCAAAACTAAACTCAACACTTTTTATAAAAAGAAAACAAAATCCAAATACTCAGCAACATAACATTCACAATGTCCAGCATCTAATCAAAAGTTCCTAGAAATGTGAAGAAGCATGGAAAATATGACTCAAGCCAGATACAGATCCAAAAGTGATAAATAATAGAACTAGCAGACAAGAACTTTAAAACAGACATTATAAATACATTCAAGGATCTAAAGGAAAACATGAACACGATGAGGAGAGAAATGGAAGACATTTAAAAAAACAACAACCAAAAAGATCTTCTACAGCTAAAAAACACAGTATCTGAGATGAAAATGTCCCTAAATGGGATTAGACACTTTAAATTAAAAATTTAGACACTTCAGAAGATTAATGAACTTTAAGACATAGCAAGAGAAATTATCCAAACTGAAGCCCAAAGAAGTTTCAGTTATGCAGGATGAATAAGTTCTAATGATCTAATATAGAGCATAGTGACTATAGTTAATAATACTATATCATATACTTGAAATTTACTAAGAAGGCAGATCTTAAGAGCTCTTACCACACACACACACACACACACACAAAGGAAAAGGGAACTATGTGAAGTGGTGGGTATGTTAATTAGCTTGAGAGTGGTAATAATTTCATAATGTATACATATATCAAACAATGCACTGTACACCTTAGTACATACAATTTTTGTCAATTATACTTCAATAAAGCTGGAAATAAAAACCAGCAAAGTGAAGCACACAGGAAAAAAGATGGGAAAATATTAACAGATCCTCAGTCAGCTCTGGAACAATATCAAGTGGTCTTACATGCATGTTACTGAAGTCCCAGATAGAACAAGAACATTTGAAGAAGTAAGACTGAAAACATTTCAATTTGATGCAAATTATTATTCCACAGATTCAAGAAGTTCAATGAATTCCAAGCAGTTTAAACACAAAACCCAAACAAGACACCCAGTAATTTGATAAAGTGAAATGATAAAGAGAAAAATCTTAAAAGCTGTCAAAGGAAAAAAAAAGTATTACAGTTTGGAGGGATCAAGGATAAGAATGACTACTGACTTCCCATCAGAAACAATGCAGGAAGATAATTAAACTACAATCTTAAGGTGATAGGGGAAAGACCAAGAAAAATCTAAAATTCTACACTCAGCAAAATATCATTGGTGGAAAAAAAGTTTCAGAAAACAAAAGCTTAGAGCATCATCGCCAGCAGACCAGCACTAAAAGAAATATTAGACGAAGTTCCTCAGGCTAAGAGAAAATGATATGAGATAGAAACTCAGTTCTCTACACAATTAATAGAACTAGAAATGGTAAATGTATGCATAATTATGATGAACTTTCTCATTAAAATTTATTTTAAATATAATTGTTTAAGCAAAGATAACAACATACTGTGGGGTTTACAACATATATGGAAGTAAAATATATAACAATAGCACAAAGATTGGGAGGGGGAAATGTAAGTATGCTTTTGTAATTTCTTACAATAACAGTAAAGTTGTATGATATTATTTGAAGGCAGATGTGATATATTAAAATATCTGTAAGACATAATGCAAACCCAAAAGCAACCAAAAGCATGAAGAGATATAGCTAACTGGACAAAAGAGAGAAAATGGAATACTAAAACAATCAACATAAAGACAAAAAGAGAAAAAACAAGGACAGATCGTACGAACAGAAAAACAGCCAAATAGGAGTCTAAAAACCAACCACATCTATAAGTATATCATATGTAAATAGTAAAAATTCTAAAGACCCCATTTCAAAATCAGAGATTGTCAAACTGGAGGAAAAAACAGAACACAACCATGTGTTATCTTACAAGAGATGTAGTTTTTAAAGACACAAATTTAAAGTAGAAGGAAAGAAAAAGATACACAATGTAAATACTAATCAAAAGATAGCTTAGCTCCATTCATGGTTACATTAATGTCAAAGTAGCCTTCAGAACAAAGAATATTACCAGAGATAAAGAAAAACATTTCATGACTATAAAAAGATCAATTCATCAAGAAGACATAATAATCAATGTATACACACTTAATAACAGAGATTCAAAATATGTGAAGCAAAACCTGACAAGAATGAAAGGAGAAACAGACAAATCCATAACTACAGATCGAGATTTCAGCACTTCTTTCTTAGTAACTGACAAAACAACTGGATAAATTAGAAAGACTAGGGAAGACCTGAATATTAACCAACTTGACCTAATTGACATTTATAGAACACTGCTCTCAACAACAGAAGAATTAAAACTCTTTTTAGGTGCACATGAAATATTTACCAAGACAGAAATCATATAAAATATGCTCTTTGATCACAATGGAGTCATATTAAACCAATAACATAAAGATATCTTGGAATCTCCAAATATCTGGAAATTAAATAAAATACTTCTAACAACCCATTGGTCAAAGAAGAAATTCCCAGGGAAATCAGAGATGCCTTGAGACAAATGCTAAATAAAATACAATTTATCAAAATGTGTGGGATTCAGTTAAACTAGTGTTTGAAAACAGTTTATAGCTTTAAAGGTTTACAATCTAGAAAAAGGTCTAAGATCAATCATCTAAGTTCCTACTTTAAGAATCTAGAAAAAGAAGAGCAAATTGAACCCAAAACAAATAGAAGAAAGGAAAAATATTGGAACATAAATCAATGAAACAGAATATGGACAATCTATAGGAAAAACACAATCAATGACACCAAAAGTTGGTTCTTTGAAAAGAAAAAAAGAAGGAAAAAGACCTACAAGTAATATTATGAATGAAAGAATTCACAGCACTACAGATTTTACAGACTTTAAAAGAATAACAGGATACTAAAGAACTGAAATCATCCAACCTACCTCTTCAAAGGAATATTTTTCTACAGTATGAAGAGCATCCTGTGTCTCATTCCACCCTCCAACAGAATAGATGCAGTCATTGAGTGCAGCCACCCCAAGGTATGCTCTTCTGGTTCCCATTGGAGGAAGTGGAGACCAACGCTTGGAAAGTGGGTCATAAACTTCAAAAGAACGCAGTTCTATTCCTTCATTGCTGATGCCCCCAATTACATAAATTAAACCTGGAAATGGAATATTTTTGCTCAGATGCTATAGAAAATAGGATATAAGTAATTATAAAAAGTAATAGTTGTGATTTAAGTTTGCTATCTGATACTACACTTAATGTAGAGTTTACAATATTATTTCAAGAGAAAAAACTGACTTCTGTCTGTCTAGTTTATCACAGCTCACATTTAAGCACGTAATAAAGAATTAGGGGTATGAATTTAAAGTGGCATTGAATTTTCAAAGAACTTAATGATGCTATAACGAAACAATTTGTCAAAGATTTCCAATCTTATTGTCTGCCTGATGATCTCAAGTTCCAGATCCACTGCTACCATGTATAGGTAAAAAAAGGAAGGGCACAGGGATTTTTTCCCCCCTTAAAAAATGTGATGCACTTAAACTAGGAATGACATGACCCTGTCTGGTGACAATCTGTCATCCTAACCGAACATAAAGTAGAGAACTGAATTAGAATAGCTTATGGCTACATTAAGGTTTCAAGTATAGTACAGTACAATAGACTGTAATTTACAGAGAATTTGACTTGAAATGTTTAAGAAACATGAGCTAAATGTTAGTAAACCTGGGTTCTGCTGCAGCTTTGTCAGTAACCAACTACGACAAAAGACAACTCACAGCATTCTGACCTTCAGCTTTCTCATCTATAAATAAAGGGATTGAAATAATCTCCAAGATGCCTCTCTAGGTCTATGATTTTAGATAGGAAGATAAAAATAATAAATATAAAACAACTAGAGAATACTATAATGTTAAATAATAGAATATAGTCTGCATTGTGTAACTTGAGCATTCAGATGCTAGTGGGAACCTGAGAAGGTACTCATAAGGCAAAAAGAACCTGGGCTAGGAACAGAGCAGGCTGAGTTGTCACAGTGTCACAATGGGCAGACTGCTTCCTACTCTATAGGTACATATAAATCTGATCTCCAACTCTGGACAGAGAATCAGGTTCTATTAGACAGTGATTACTAATTACCTCTCAGGGTATAGTAGACAATTAAAATAATGCCGGTATACCATTTTAATATGCAGTACAACATTTTCCAAATCTGTCATAGCATTATATTCTGTGTGGACTGAATCACAATGAACCCTATAAAAAAACACTGAAGAAGCCTATGACACTGTCAAGACTGTTTTGGATAATCTCTTTCTACTTAGAAATACTTACTAAGGTCTATGTGGGAGAAAAAAATGACAATAATGGATGGCAGTTCAAATGCTTATTTTGCTAGTTAGGCATTTTCGCCCATTTGGAATTTTTAATTCTAGCTTTGTTTATGTTGGGAAAAAAAAGATTACTCTGGAAATACAGAAATAAACATATAAGAGGTTAAAAGCATAGCTTCTAAAACGTTAGTGGTATTATTCAATACCAACAGACATAAAACATACTTTTGTGAAAATAAAGCCTCAAATACAAACAGTTTTTTAAAAAATATATTTTAAGGGAAAATATTTTATAAGAGCAATTACCTTGCATTTCACAACACCCAAAGTAATAGCGTGACATAGCCATGTTGCCAACTACTTCCCATTTATTTTCATCAGGATCAAATCGTTCAATGGTATTCCCTATCTCAGCTCCAACCCAACCACCTGAAACCAAAGAGAAAAATGTTATTTTGGAGATAAAGGATCTTATTTATGAAAAACACCTTAGAAAACATCTAATCTGACAACTTATACTATGGATAATTATCACATAGACCAGAGAGGTTATTTGTCCAACATCACATAAAAAGTTAGAATCTGACTGTGGGTCGAAGTTGAGTCCTTTAACTCTCTGCCTAGGTTTCACAAGAGATTTTAAAACACAAAACAAAAACAAAAACTTCAACATACTGCATAGGAAATACGGTATTTTACAAAATTACTTTTTGAAACAACTTCTGCGAATGCAAAATGATTATCATAATTATGAGATTTAACTTTTAATCAGTTAGAGTGCTTCATTAGACATCTCATCTGTATTTTATCTCCATCTCCTTTGGAGAACTCCATACTTGATAATATTTCTGAAGTAATACAATTTTGAGAATAAGAATTTAAGCTGAAAAGACACAAGTTTCTTTAGGGAAGGGAGGGAAATTTCAAAAGTAAGCAGAATTTGACTAAAAATTTAAATAACGTTAGATATCCTTAAATTGAACAGCATAATTACCCAAAGCATAGATAGCTCCATAACACACACACACTCCCAAGCCACAGCGGGGGTGATTCATTGAAGCTACAGTTGTCCACTGTTTAGTAACTGGATCATAGCATTCAGTACAGTCAAAAATCATTGAATCCTTTTCACCTGAGTTAAATAAAAGAGACACATATGAGAAGGTTTAGTAATATTAATAGCCTAGAACCATAATACAATATTCAGTAGCATTTTGTGTTATCAGAAATTCAACAATAATGTCTGATTTTATATTATTCACTACAATTCACTGCCCACAAAGTGTTATTTTGAATCCATAGCATTGTCACTTATTAAAGGCCACTTAATGAAGCAAAAGCATAATTTTCCTATTATCTATTTCTAATTCTACCACCCAACCTATGTAGTTTTTGAGGATACAATTTGCATTTTGACACTTCCATATTTTCATAGTTTGGATAGCTGGTCCTGGGATAATTTGAGTTTTAATGCATTGTTTATCTAGCAACAAACAGAAAGTGAAAATAAATGTTTAAATATCACTTAAAATAGAATTTTAAAATATACCATACCTAGGAGTAAATCTAATCAAAGATTATATAAGATCTTTATGGATAAAATTTATAAACTTTATTTAGATAAAATTTTAAATTAAGAAATATCTAAATAAATGAGCAAATGTATCATGTTCATGAATTATGAGTCAATGTAAAGATGATTATCCCCAAATTTATTTATAGATTTAACAAAATCCCAATTTAAAAACCCTTTCTTGTTTTTACTGCGTTAAAATATACATAACATAAAATTTACCACCTTAACTGTTTTAAAATGTACAGTTCAGTGATGTCAAAGACATTCACACCGTTGTAGAGCCATCACAACCATCCATTCCCATAATTCTTATCTCATAAAACTGAAACTCTATACCTATTACACAATAACTCTCCATTCTCTCCTCCCCCAACCCCTGGCAACCACCATTGTATTTTGTCTTTTTGATTTTGACTACTCCAAGTATCTCATGTAAGTGGAATCATACAGCATTATTTTCAAAAACAGATTTAATGAATTGATTCTAAAATTTATATGGAAGTATAAAAGGCCTAGAATAGCCAAGCGCTCCCAAAAAGAATAATAAGGAGAAGCTGCCCTGTCAAATAAGTTTATCAGACTTAAAATAGAGCTACAGTAATTAAGATAGGCATAGACAGAGAGACCAATGGAACAGAAATTCTAGAAACAGATCCACACATATATGATGATTTGGTATATGACATAGTTTACAAGGCAGAGCAGTGGGGAAGCAAAAATCTTTTATGCTGGGAATTGGTTACATATCTGTGGGAAAAAATGAAGCTGGTTCGTTGCTCATACTATCTATAAAAACATAATTATAGGTGCATTAGAGACATAAGTGTAAATGGCAAAACTATAAAGTTTTAGAAAACAATAAAGATTTATATCCTCATGACTTTGGAGTAGGCAAGGATTTCTTCAAAAAAGATACAAGAAACACTAACCATATAGGGAAAAATATAATGAGTTGGCTACATTAAAATTAAAATATCTATTTATCAAAAGATACCATAAAGAGAGTAAAAGATGAAGCAGAAGAGTAGGAAAAGATATTTGCAGTACATATAACTTTATGAGGGCCCAGAATCCTGAATGTATACAAAACTCCTACTGTGCAGAAAAGAGTTAACATAGGAGGCCTGACATTGCCTATCCTTAGAAAGACCTGCTTGCAAGGTTGACCCTTGCCTGGAGTCTGGGAACATGGCTAGTAAACAGTTCTCTACACTCATATAAAATTTTCCCTAAATGATAAGAGTGGCTTTTTGCAGTGGTGAAAATGTTCTGGAATTAGTGGTGATTGCTACACATTTTGTGAATATAATAAAAACCACTGAAGTGCACACTCTCAATGGTGAATTTTATGGTATGTGAACTATATCTTAATTTTTAAATCTAATACTTAGAATATTAACCCAGAAATGTATGTATCTAGAAGGAAATAAACCAAACACTATGATTATCTCTGGGTGGTACTGTGATTATAGTATGGGTGATTTTTATTTTCTTTTTCATATGTATCAGTTTTAGCAAAATTTTCTCAACAAACCCAAATTAATTTGGTAATAAAAATTATTTTTAAAGTGTATATTAAGGATATATTAAGATATGTTAAGATAGTAATGTTGATAGTACTAATAAAATCTAGCAAAGTCATAGCATTTTTGAAGTGCTCCCATTGGTACTTCCATGGTATCAGGGAAAAGGAGATATATATAATATATACATGCAAGTGTCACACAAGACACTGTGACCCTAGGTTAAATAGGAGAGTTCACACAATGAAACTATCCATAATTGCCAAAGTGTACATAAAAAGAACTATTAGAGGTCTAGCCAAAGATTATATAGACTAATGGTCTTTATGCTGACAGAAGGTTACTGCTCAAAACTAATTTCTTTGTTAGGATTTTCAGATGGACCATGACATTTATTGATTTAATAAACAGTTTTTGAGTGACAATTATGTTCCTTCCAAACTATAAAAATCAAATATTGCCTCTTTCATTTTAAACTGATACTATCATAGTTGGAGAATAATATTTTAAAAAATATTTATTTATTTAAATGGAGGTACAGGGGACTGAACCCAGGACCTTGTGCATGTTAAGCATGTGCTCTACCACTAAGCTATACCTACCCCCAATAATAAGATTTTCGATATACAGCTTTCAGTGGTTTAGGCTGACCCACAGAAATAGAGCAAAAAAATTGCTGTAAAGGTTACAGATGATTTACCCAGGCCAGTTGCTATAAAAGGCAAATTTTTCAGAAGTAAATCTTGATATCAGGCATGTTAAAATTTATTTCTCTTTAGATCCCTCTCTGACAATTATTTCCCTCTAACAGTCAAATTCTCTTTATTTAATTTTATTCATTAATCATTTTAAAATTCATAATAATAGTTTCAGAAAACACAGTGATTTCAATCAAGAAATATATCCCATTGTCTAGCTGACATAGTTTTTATATACCCCACTGTCCAGATCACTTGGACATAATTAAAAATGATTCGTTATACAGCTTTCTGAATTAAAAAAAATTTTTTATCACAAATATTGACCTAAATTTTGGTGCCACATTTTATAAATAACTTTTCATTAAAACCAAACCTAAGTATTCTGCCTTGTAATAAATTATAGTATCCTTCTGGTATGAAATATTCAACATCTTGGTATTTCCTTTTTTCATTCATTCATTTATTCAATAAATACTTATTAAGCACAACTATACCTACATATACTCCATGGTAGCTAGCAATACACATAAGACATATAAGAATGTAGCCAACTTATAACTAGAGACTAATAAGGGAAATAAGACATTTTGATTTTTACCTCCAATTGCATAAACCATCCCTCCTAGAACTGCTACTCCCAATCCACATCGAGCCTGATGAAGTGAAGATACAGTGGTCCAGTACTGGCTAAAGGTGTCAAAACGTTCTACACAACTGAGGGCTCTGCTATCACTCCAACGACCCCCCTGCAACCGAGTATATCCACCTGAATAAAGGAAGGAAAGGAGGTACACAGCAAGTCCCTTACTGCTAAACATGGAAATGGCAGTAAGAAGAAAAATCTAGCTCTCTACATCTAGACATTCAGTATAACTATTTCATAGCAAGGAATAAGTGCTTTACAGCCTGCCATATATACATATATTATTCTTAAATGTACCAAGTCTTGAAAGATTATGGCTTAAATGCAATGAGGTCAACCACAATGTTAACCACCTGGTCTTGGCTATAACTGAACGTTAGATAAAACAAATCTAGGAGCTGGTTATCTGTCTGCTTACAAAGTTTCATTGTGACTTCTATTAATATCTTTTTCAATTAAAAATAATGAGTTGAAATCATTGTTTGACTGCACATCCTACCATTTAAAAAAACAGCAAGCACTCAAAAATTACATATTTATATATTTCAGTATATATACAATTACACATACAATTAACATTCACACTATAAATTATATTATAAAACTGTTATATATAAATTATCTTATGTACATAAATCTGGAAAATCTGTCTATTGTGTATATCAAATACTGGGTTTTTTAAATAAAAATGGAAAAGCTGTAATATGTTCATCTGATACTCCTATGGATTGTCTTGCACACCCACGCTTTGAAGACCACTAGTTCCTATTATCCCTAGTGACCATCTAAGACACTATGAATAGTTAAAATGTTTGAGATTTATTTTCCTATTTCTCATTAGAAGTCAAAGATTTAACTTTTAAAGCAGTATTTCCAAGGCAGTTATTTGACAATAATTTGGTATCTGACAACCTAAATATTTAGGTCACAGAATAATAGATGTCAAATAAATAGCTATTCTTAGATGTTTCCAAAGTATTATATAAACACAATTTATAAATCTGCAGCCTGTATGTGAAATTAAATGCCTACTTGACATACCTACATATTCTGACATGTATAGTAACAACTAAAATACTAAAAGGTTTTGATCCTGAAAATAAAGATAATTTTGATTACTTTTTAAAAGGTTCTCACCTACTGCATAGAGGTACTTTCTCGCTTTCTTCCGAGGTCGAACCTTAGATGTCTGCAGAAAACTACAAAATTTGTTCTCTTTGGGAGATTTGCATACCTCACAGTACTCTTTCAAAAGTGTTTGCAATGCAACACGAAGATTAAAATCAGATACTCCTAAAACAATGTTTAAAAAAACAGTGTTTTAATCAACTTTTAACAAATATTAAAAAGACATGTTTCCATAAAAGTGAAATACATTTATCAATCAAAAAATAAGAACTCATCATCAAACAGTGGTGTTTGTTTTCTACAATAACAAATATTTTCCTCATTTCTACTAAAGAATATACTTCTCTTTTATCAAAGACTTTTTAAAAATATGCTTCACAAGATCCAATTTGAAAACATATATATGAGAATCTCTAAATAAAGATGCCTAAGTAAAACAGTATCACAATTTTCTAACAAAAAGAGAAAATAAAATAGCCACCAAATTATATACTTACAACCTAATAACAAAAGGATACAAAATTATTTCATAAACCTTGAAAATGACAGTCAAAGCGGGATGCAAAAAATTCGAGTGAGATGACGTCCATCTCCTAAAATGACTTTGAGCATGACTGGGTAGGTTATTCTGCTGAAGGGTGCTTAGCTGAAAAGATGAATTGGGGATGAAAGCTAACCTGTGTCAAGCTGTAAGACCTGGCTCCTGTGAAAGGGCACTATTTTCTAATTTGCACAAAGGCACCACGTATGCTACCAAGGGACTGTCGCTAAGCTTTCTCCCTAAATCCGAAAAAGCAGTATCATGAGATACATTCTTGGCTGGGTTAAGGAGGTCCTAATCAATAACAGGATCTTATAAGAGAGAGCTCGGAACCCAGGCCCCCAAACAAGGACCCTCAGCCTTAGCAGATCTCTATTCTTTCATCACCAGTGGTAAACACAAAAATATACATCATGGGAAAAACCTACACATTTCACAATTTAACCATTTCAAGTAAGTCTTGCTCCCTTTCTGAATTTTGTGGTAGAGTCTCATTATTTTCCTGCACAAATTCCCTATCTTTTCTCCCAATATGATCAAAGAGAAAAAGTATCAAGGTTGAAAAATATTAAGGTTACCATTTTAAAAAATCCTTCATTTACTTCTTCTTTGGAATGCAGTTTTACTTCAGTGAAATACCTTTGAGTGATAACTATCGGGCAGTGCAAGACTTGAATGCTGTAACACTAAAAAGCTGAAGGAAAACATGCCCCAATTCTAGGGAACCTTCCTTTGCTTCTAGCAGAAGGACTTCCCTTTAGTACTCTGTAACACTTGGGAAAAGCAAACTCAACCATGAAAACCTTTGGCCCGCTCCTAAATTCTCACATAATGCATGCAAATATGTGTCTGGATAATTTCTCTCTTCTTGTTTTAGCATTTAAATATAGTTAGCCCTCATTATTTGTGGATTCCTTATTTGTGAATACATTTATCCACTAAAATGTATTTGTAACCCAAATCAATACTCATGGCGCTCTTCTGGTGGTTTGCAGACATGCTACAGAGTGACAAAAAATTTGAATCACCTAACATGCTTGTTCCCAGGTGAGACTGAAAGAGATGACATTCTACCTTCCTCTTTCAGCTCTCATACTGTAAACAAGTGTCCTCTTCACACTATTTAGAGCCATGGTTTTCACATTTTTGTGCTTTTTGTTGGTTTTTCTATATTTAAAATAGCCCCTAAGCATACTGCTAAAGTGCTGTCTAGTGTTCATACGTACAAGAAGGCTGTGATGTGCCTTACAGAGAAAATGCATGTGTTAGGCTTCATTCAGGTTTGAGTTACAGTGCTATTGGCCATGAGCTCAATGTTAATGAATCAACAATATATATCAAATAAGGTGGTTTTGACAGATACACACAGAAAACAAGGTCATGTATTGATCAGTTGACAAAAATGTTGTGACCGGAGGCTTGTAAGAACTTACCCTGCATTTTCCCTAGGAACAATGGCTCAGTATTTGCCAATTCAGGGCTTCTGGCAACTTTATAGAGTATACGTACCGTGAATGATGAGAATTGACTGTATACACACTAGTACAAGTTATCACTCAGAAAATCCTACAAAATTCTGTTAAACACTGTTAAGGGTAGAAAAAACTAAAAATTCACATTAAATATAATTCCTTCACAGAATTACACCTTTAATGCTAATATCATATTTAAATTCATAATAAAATCACTTGTGGATTCAGTAACATCCTAAAATTTCAGTGTGTGACAAGAGTAAAAGCTTCAAATCTTGAAACCACGTCCAAAGTCGTTTTTTAAAATAAATTTAAATATTATCATATTTCTAATACAAATCTAAAATATATTTTATACTACAGTGAAAAGTATATTCAAAGTTTAGAACCTAAAAATTATTCAAAGGCTACATAAAAGCTGTTATATTATATCAACATAAAATTCATTTTATAATGAGAGGGCTTATAGGATTTATTGAGTTCTGTTTTTGTTTTTAGCATATATATTTTCTCTCAGATGTTAGGTTTTGTTGAATTTTTCAGAGTGGCACGAGGAAATCTTACCCTAAAATAATTAGTACTGCCGAAAATAGCAGTGTTATTTTAGATCTGTCAGTAATTTTACCCCCTTGGTATTTAATTTCAAGAAAGATACATATGGATTTGATTAAAATAATGGGTAGAAATACTGAAATACTACTATCTACTCACAAAACACTAAAGTTGTATCTTGCATATAGTAATCATTCAATAAATGTCTGCTATTGAACTGAAAAATGAAAACACTATCACATTTCAAACAGAGAAAAGGCCACTGGATAATTAATTGACTAATTTAACACACAACAACCACCACAAAAAATTACCTTCTATATACTTTAAAAGCCTCTGAGGAGGTAATAAAGGGAATCGAATTGGGTCTAGCACTTCCACCACATGTTTTCTTCTCTTTCCCAGATCTTTCAGAATCCACTGCATTGCAGCTAAGAAGACCTGGTATTCATCCTCGATGCTAAGCTCTTCACTTCGCAAAATTTTAATCAGCTGATCTTTTGTAAGTGCCAGGAACTCTTCCCCACTATGAACCTCCAAGAAATGAACATGAATGTAGTTTTCTGTAAATTCCAAAAGATCATGGCAGGCAATTTGCTCAGAGAACTGAAAGATCCCAATGCAGTTCAGTGGATCAATTTGTCCTTTCAGAAATTCACAGCAAAGACTGACAACTTCAGTCAACTGTAGCATATCTGCTGCAACAATCAACTCCTGGACATTATTCACTCCTATGTTCACTATACCTAGGGAAGTAGGAAAACAAAATAACCAATAAAAGAAAAAAATATTTAACATATTCAAATCACATTATACCTGATTCCACTGATAGCTTAGGGTTTGTTGAGTAGACAGATACTAAGTAAAAAAGAAACAAAGAATTTGTAGAAAGTGCAATGATGATACCTAACATTCATGGAATACTTACACTGAGCCAGGCGCGGCATTAATTGCCTTATACATTTACTTAACCCTCACTACAACTCCATATAGTAGGCTTTTCCCCCCTTTATTTTCGTATTAAGAAAACAAAGTTAAAGTAACATGCCCTCATGTCTCATGGTTAAGTGAGATGCAGGGCAGGGAGTAACATCAAAGTCCATGCTTTTAACATAAGGATATATGCATCTAACATTTTACTGAGGCACTGGGGAGAGTAAGACAGGGTTCCTATCCTCAACTATAATAAAGTGCCATATAAATGTTAACTGTTGATATCAGATATAATCAAGAGCCTATAACGTATGAGAAGATATTAAACATTTAACATTTAAGTTACTGTATATACTAATCTCTTTCCAGAGGGCTTCACTTTCATTTATTTACATAATGACTTTGGAAAGACATCAAATAGTCAATTATATTTAGAAGGAAAAAAAAAACCATAATTCTCCTATCTAATAAGGATAAATTCTCCATTCAATTTCATACTTTCCCTTTATCCCTTTGATAACATTCAACTAAACTGTCTGTCTAAAGTTTGTATTCCCACGTAGATTTATAAAGTCTGTTGGGGCAAGGCTTGCCCTTTCCCTGTTCCTAACACCTAGCACACACTAGGTGCTCAAGAAATTTGTTATAAATGAGACATTATGGTGAGAGGAAAAATATGACTTGTTGAATGCAAACACAAGTTTTACCAAAAGTATAGGAAATGGAATCTACCATTGGAGTAAATGGTAGTGGCTGCAGAGAAAACCGAGATAAGACTTAACTGAATGAAATGAGAATTCAGTACAAATTTGGAGAAGATAAGCTTATGGGTTGTAATGGAAGGGGACTGAATGATTGCTACTGGATAAACCCAAGAGTTACCTGAGAACAACAAAAAGAATGTCCTACAGCTTAATATGGCTTTATAGATTATAAAATGCACTTTTACATTAAAATTGATCTAATTTAAATTATAATGAAATTTACATGAATTATAAAGTGCTACTATCCACACTTTATGAATAAGGAGAATGAGGCTCTCACAGGCTCATTTCTATTTTGCAAATATTTACTTTGCATTACCTATACAACTCTGTGAAGGCAGAGGCCATGCCTGTCTTGTTTACTGTCATATCCCCAGTGCCTAGCTCAAAAAAAGTACTCATATATATCTGCTGAAAGAATAAATGAATAATTGACTATAGTTAAATGACATGCCTTGTATCACATTGCTGATTAGTGGCAGAGCTAGATCACAAACCCAGGTCATTTAATTCTAAGTGAAGTGCATAAAAAGTCTAAGTGGGGAGGATATAGCTCAGTGGTAGGGTGTGTGCTTGGCACGCATGAGATACCTCCATTAAAAAGAAGTAAACAAATAATAAAGTATGTTAAAAAAAAAAAAAGAAAAAATCTAAGGTGAGAAGTTATCTGTTAAGACCTATTAGAACTGTGAATAGTTAATAAAGAATGTTCAAAGGAGAGATTGACAGAATAATAGGTTTTGCCGCCCCCCCATCCCAAAATATGAAATGCTCTTACAATGAAAATCAAGGAACATGTTTTTCAAGAACTAATTTTATCCAAGACTACAAAGTTCCCTATCTAGTAAATACCCAATATTCATTTTTTTTTAATCTCTACTAAAAAAAAAACCTTGATTTTGTCGTGGGTGGTGAGTTTGCCCAGCTGAAAATTACGTTTCTCAGCCTCCCTTGCAGTTAGGGGTGAATTTTTGACTGAGTTTCACCAAGAGGACACAGGTAGCAGTTACTGGGGAGGGATTCCAGAAAAGCTTAAAAAGGGTCAGACTCAGCTTGCAGGCTCTTTTATCTTTCCCTCTTCCTCATTCCACTAGCTAGAGTTCAGTGATCATGAGATTAGAAGCTACAAGCTATAGATGGTGGAGTAAAGTGCTGGAAGATTAATGGGACACTAACGACATCATGAAGCCACCATATCAGCCTTGGGATGGCTACTATGGATTTATTTTTGTAGAAAAATAACCTACTATCTTGTAAAGCCATTTTATATCTTTTACTTGCAGCTGAATGTTATTCTTAACTGTTAATCATTAATTTTAGCCTTAAATACCAGTACTCTACAAATGTTATTTCCCCCCAGGTATGCTCAGTAGCTCGCATTTCTCTAGGTTTTACCACTTTTTATTTCTTTGATGGATGTGGTAATCACCAGCAATATGGACATGATGACATGAACATTCTCTTTCTCTAAATATCTCTTGTTGCTACTATCAGACAACAGAGGCAGAATAAACAACTTGTTTTTGATATTTCTTCTGTTTTTATGGATCTCAACATTAATTCCATTGGATTAATCTGCATTAACTTATACTTTGCAAATAAGAGAAGTGGGATATTTATGAAGCAACTTAACCAGCTCACATAAGTTAAACAGAAAAGTGAATCAAGAACCCCTCAGTGTTAATTTGTACACTAGCAATAGGCAGAGCTTCATTCCTTTCAGTAGATAAATCATTTTTACAATCCCAAATTAAGTTTTTTTCCAAAATTTTCCAAAAAGGAATATGAAACAACACAAAGAAATCATCTTTTGTCATTTTCCTGGTTTAAATAACATATGTTAAATAAACAATAATTTATCAGGCCATATAACTATCTCCCACCAAGTAGTCCTTTACAAAGGACATGGCGTAGTCTCAAAACTAGACTAAAAAAACATAGTCTTTGTTTTCAAACATTTTCTCATGATCATAAGGGTAATATATATTTACTACAGAAAAAAAAACTTTTAGGCAGAAAAGTATAAAAATGAAAATCACTTATTTTCCCATATGGAGACATACACTATGTTGACACTTTAGTGTATCTCTTTCAAGTCTTTCTTCCATGTATATTTATGCCACATACAAGACTTACACTTTATAGTTTTCGTGTGCATTTTCTAACATCATAAAAACTCTTTGAAAATAAAAATTTTAATTAAATCAACACGTCCTGATTATAAATATTTTGAGGGAATAAAACAGAAAAAAGGAAAAATAAGAATCTTCCATATTCCATCATGTAGAGATAAACACTTGTCAATATTCTGGTCTTTTTCCTGTGCACAAATACACAAATTTTTTTTTTTTTTTTTACAAAAGTGGGCTGGTATTTAGATCAGGATTTTTTCATTAAATATATTGTAAACATTCCTCCATGATAGTATATATATGTGTGTGAACATAAATAATTTGCGAGATCTAAAAATTATTCCATTTTATATATATATATATGTACCTTAATTTATTTAACCATGTAATCTACTGAGGGACAATAAGAATGTATTCAGTTGTATACTCTTATAATGTTACAATAACCAAATATATCCACCTGCATCACTAATTACTTCCTTAGGATCCCTAGAAAAGGAATATTGGGTCAAAAGAGATGAATTTTTGAAGACTCATAATAACATACTGTCAAAGTACTTCCCATATAAATTAAAACAATTTATATTCCCGTAGCAGTAGATGAGTGGTTGCATCATTCTTCGCTCAAAGCTATGGCTCACGTAACATACCTGTGTAAATGAAATCTAGAAGTATTTGAAAGATTCCAGCTTCAATTCCTAGAATCTGTACAACATCTTTTGAGGACTCTTTCATTCCCCCAGTGAACAAAGCTGCAAAGTAAGGACTACTAGCAGCCAAAACAAGCCGATGAACTTTAAAAGTTTCCTTTCCAACCTGTAGCTGCACATCACAGAAATGCTGGCCATTCCTCATTTTATTGATCTGGGCCAAGATGAGTTGAGCATGTTTATCGGATGAAAAAGGACTATCACCAGCCTTGGCACAACCCTCATTAGCCATGATGATGATAGATTAACTAAAAGGACTGTTGCCCATAGTCTGGTCCTACCCTGAAAAAAAAAAGAGAGAGAGAGAGAGTCTAAGCACCACATTTTTATGTTTAATATGTCTTCTATTCATATACATATGAAACATTCGCTATCCTCAAGGAGATAATGATTTACTTAGGAACATGAAACAAATAAGTACTAAACTGTGTGGTACTATTCCTAACAGGGATTCAGAGAAGAGAATAATAGGGCATAAAAAATAAGATGATGCTTCACAGCTGAAATGGGACCTAAACTAGACACTGGAGTGATACATAGTGTATTAAGGTACGAGGAGACAGCATAAATCCTCCTAGGTGGAGTAAAGAAAACAAGGAAAGGCACAAAGGCAGAAAGAAATTTTAGTACACTGCAGTAAAGAAGCACACATGGCAGCCAAAATGAACTTTCAAAAGGCAATTATGATCAGGTCAACTGTCTGCTTAGAATTCTTCAATTTGTACACTTCCCTTAGCCCACAAAGCCCTTCAAATATACCTCTGTCCACCTATCCAGTCCTATATCCTCGAATCCTCTTTGAATTTAACACTCCAACAAAACCTAACAACTAGCAGTTCTCTAAAAGCATCTCTTTCAATGGCACCTTTCTCCACCTTTTCCTTCTGGATCTTTGTTGTAATTCAGAACTCTGTTCAAATATAATTTCCTCCAGGAACCCTCCCCTGTTTCTCTCTTCTCTGGGTTTGGTGCTCACCTTAACCTTACCTATTTTACAGCCTATATCACACTCTACCTTGTCAGACATTTTACTGCCCTACTCCCTACACACACAAACACACTGAAAGTTTAATTCCTTAGGGCAGGGACTGTCTTTCACAGCTGTCACACCAGTATCTAACACATAATAGGTTTTCAAATGTTTGTGAAATAAATGAGTACAATGAGAAATAACAATAATGGCTTAGGTTTTGTTTAACTCTGGTAATCTTTCCACACCAGATCTTCTTACTTTAAATCCTGGGTTTTTCCCACCATATCATGTGCATGGGGATTATTAAGCCAGGTTATAGAGAAAGGGCTTTGAAGCCCAAGCACAGAAATTTGGACGTGAGCCGTTAGTTTTATAGAGAATAAACATGACAATCGTCGTATCTCAGAACTGTTATTTGAGTCTTCAGGGGGATGAGCTAAGCATTAGCAAAGTCCTAGGAAACAGCCTTCCAGCCTCAACAATGAGAATCAAAGGGATAAATCTAAGTTAATTTCTGAATAAAGAAACCATGAGATCCATTAATATAAGAGATCTAGAGATGAAGCACATGGGAAATCTGAGTAAGGTTTTGTCATTTAGGCATCAAGGAGAACTGGTATTAAGACTGACAGAAATAGTGTGGGCTGATGTTAGAAAAAAGTGGTTAAGTTTATAGCATTTAGTCACACTTACCAAAGTAAAAATAACTAAACTGACTATCATGATTATCTAGGAATTACCTTATTGAGAAAGTAGATTGAAAAGTTCCGAGGTAGCTGCTAAAACTTCACATCAGCATCTACAGAATGTCAACATTATTACATTTAATTGGCATATAAAAGCTAAGTGTTTTTGTCTCTACACAGAAATTTGACCTGCAGATATTATTAAACATGGCATGGCTGTCAGGCTTTTCTGTTTTAGATTGCTTCCTCTCAGCAGATTTTAGACCCCAGTGGTTTGTTTAATTACAAGGTACCTCCTCTGCCCCCAAATTCAGGGCATGAAGCACAGCCACTGAGCTAAAACGCTGCCTCCTGCTTACATTTAAAAAAAAAAAGTTATTGAATGTCCAACGGGTGAGAGACAGCTGAAATCCTACTCTATTACCACGCTTCTTAGTAACTGCTGATACTATCCCACTGCCAGTGGAGTACTTCCTTCCAAAAGGCAGCACGTGGTGTAAGCCTATTTCCAAAAGGAGACAGCATAATTCAGGCACATTGCATAGGGATGTAAGGGGCGTGCCCAAGAGACAAAAACTTTAAAGGTAGATTATTAGGAACCGGTGGAAACGCCTAAAGGAAGTAAAGAGGACCTATGTTTAGCGGCCTTGAATCCACTGCCTAGAGCATCTGGAAGCTAACTAGGGGTTGGACGTGGAGAGCTATCCCTAGGCTGCTGCGACACTAAAGGCGCATAAACATTCGGGGGCGCTACCCGAACGGCGGAGAAGGCACCTCAGACACGTCTGGTGACAGCAGCCGGCAGAGTTCGGCCTCCGGATTCCCCCCGGGGGCGGGGGATTGACGGGGAGAGGAGAGGCAGGAGCGAACCGGACTAGATGAAGCTCAGATGAGGGCGAACCCCCTTTATCAAAGGCACGCCTGAGCGGCAGGAGAAAGCCGGTTTCCAAAGCTCCTCTCGCTCTCCTCCTCCAGGGTCCTGAGAGTCGAAGAGAGCCGAAGAGGAAACTCCCAACCCCGTCATAGATGCCCCCGCCGCAGGGCCTTCTTACCCGCCGCTTCCCCTTCCAGCGGGCGCCAGCTCAGGCGGGCGCTGCGCGCGCAGTCGCGACCAGCCGGCGCGCGGAGGGGGCGGGGGAAACCCGGCCGGGTGACGGGGCGGAGGGCTGGAGGCGAAGCCGCGCCTGTTGTAGGGGCCTCTCCCAGCCGGCGGCCGGAAGGCCTGCGCGTGCGCACTGCTCTTCCGCTCGTGGGTGGCGGCCGCTGCGGGTGCCAAGCTGCCCCAGCGCCAGGCTTGTGCTTGACTCCCCGCGGGCAGTGGCCCTGCGGCCAGCGTAAACTCCCGCCTGCTGGAGCTGGCCGGCTCGGCTTTCCACTCCGCCTACCGCCTCTCGATTCTTGTGGCGTCCCAGGCAGCCAGCGAACCTCAGTGCTAATGAAAGACACGGACGAACCCTCGGCCGGGCGCTTGTCTATTCCTTATGGTTCATACAGATCGCTTTCTGAGTCTCTGCCTGACTGGGCCCCGCACTGTGAATGGTTGCCTGCTTTGAGCAAAGGGACAACTCAAAACATTCACTTGTTTTCACTGTTGAACCTTATAATAATGACGCATTTTAAAATGGCTTTCAAACTTTCTGACCCCAGCCCACCGTGAACAATAACGTTGTACATCAAACGCAATAATACCACATATGCACCACAGATAGATAAAACTATTTGAAAGAAAAAGCTCACAAAACTATCGTCGGGGAGGGGGGAATTTCTCCCTCTACCCATCTTGAGTTCTTGTAGCTGAACTAATAATAAAATTGACACAAAACAGATTAACAGGAGAAAAAAAAACACATTTTAATCATTTGCAGGGAAGTCTAAGAAATGGGACCTAAGAAGTGGCCAAAGCAGGCAGCTTTTATACTTAACAGACAGAGAAGCAGTAAATGTATGAGGAATTGACCAAAGCAACTAGGTTTTGGATACTCAATTAGTGAAGGATCTAAAGAGTCTGGATTTGGGGTAGTAAATGAAAGGAAGTGACAAGGTTTGTTTATGTAGGCTTGTCGGCCTGAATTCCCTGTTTCTAGAGATGAGTGTCCTTCTACCTTCAGATGCAGGAAGTGGATCTTTCAGATGAGAGATTTATTTCCTGCTTTCAGGGAGATAGAAAGGATGGTGGGAGTGTCCTGGCTTTGCCTCTCTTTTAAGTAACTTTAATTCGAAATAATCAATATGCCATTGAAGCACATTTTGGGGCAGCCTACCCTGGGCCCCAACACTGTGCTTATACACCTCTATCAGTGCACTGAATTTCTATTCCTTCTTATCAATTTCATTACTGAAAAATGCTAAAAGGGAACCATTGTCAGGAAAAATTGTCGAAGACTTGGAAATGAGCAAAGAGATTAATGGCTGCCCTTTCAGTGTAAGCCTGGGCATTGTCTAGAAGAGGCTGGAAGGATTTGAATCCATAGGGACCTCTGACTTTCTACGGACAAATGTATTTTATAATAAAACTGATAATGTTTAAAATAATTCTTGTCCACCTTGAAGAAAAGATAACCCCAAATATTACATTTTATTGACATATAGGATATTAAACCACTTTTGCCTCTGTTAGCAAAATCATTTCAATATTCGTGTTTGTTTAGAAAGTTATACTTCACCATCACTAAAATTAACTTTATGATTAACTATTGGATTGCACCCAGCAATTTGAAAACTAGTGCTTTAGAGTATATACCTAAGAGCAGAATTGTTGGAACATAGGATATGTGCATCTTCAGTTTCACTAGAAAATACTTCTTTCCCAAACTTTTTTCCAATTTACATTTTCACCAGTAGTGAATGAGAGTTCCCTGGCTCCACATCCTTGCCAACACCTAGTATCATTGGATGTTTCAATTTTGTATAATCTGATGAGTGTAAAATGATATTTCATTTTTATTATAATTTAATTCCCTGATTATTAATGAGATCAGGCAGTAAAAAGATGTTTATAAGCTGCTTTGGACTGAATTTTGTTCTCCCCCAAATTCATATGTTAAAGTTCTAACCCTCCAATGTAATGGTATTTGGACATAGGGTTTTGGGGAGGTAGTTAGGGTTAAATGAAGTCATGAGGATGGGGCCCTTATAAGGGATTAGTGCCCTCATAAGAAGAGACATCAGAGGATGCTTTCTCTCCCCCATTGTATGTACACATGCATGATAGAAGGCCATCTGGCTATCTAGTGAGAAGGTGTCCATCTAGCCCCCATTCACATAAAGAAGAGATCATGTGAACATACAGGGAGATGGTGGCTGCCTACAAGACAAGAGAGAAGACTCAGAATGAAACCTACCTTGCTGGTAACCTGATCTCAGATTTCCCAGCCTCTGGAACTGTGAGAAATAAATTTCTGTTGTTTAAGCCATCTAGCTTATGGTGTTTTGTTATGGCAGTCAAAGCAAACTAATAGATTAATAAAGTTTCTTTTTGTGTATAATGGCTATCCAGTTCTTTCTTCAGTTTTCAATTGAATTTTTATTGATATTTAGGAGGTTTTTTGTTTACACATGATCTCAATTTTTTATTATTAATTGTCTTTTTTTTTTTTTTTTAATGGAGGTAACTAGGGATTGAACCCAGGACCTCGTGCATGTTAAATATGCGGTCTACCACTGAGAAATACCCCCCACTCACTGTCTTTTTGATGAACAAAAGTTTATAATTTTACCAGTTTATCAGCCTATTTATTTATGTTTTGTACTTTCGGTGTGTTGCTTAAGAAATTCTCCCCCTCCCCAATGTCATAAAGATATTATCTTATATTTTCTTCTAAAAATGTTATTGTGAAGGAAAAACCGGGCTGGTCTAACAAGATAACTCACAAGTCTAGGAATGTGAAGGAGAGGCTGGGCTGGGCTAACAAGATAACTCACAAATCTAAGTATTGGAATACTGATCTGAGTTCTGCTAGACTAACTTGTAAATCTAGGTTAATTAGTGTTGGTTTGCTGTTCATGTTTTTTGCTAGCCAGCTGGGTTTTCAAAGATACATATCTGGCTTTGGAATGTTGGTTTGCTGCCTCCCCGCCTCAACTTTTGTGATGATAATGATGCTAAAGCTGTTCCATGCCTATTGGCCGAATACCCCAAGCTTGTACTTTACCCTATAAAACCTCATGCACACGTCTTGGAGGTGCTCAGAGCTTCAGAGCAGAAGCCCCTCTGAGCCCTCCGGCGTAATACATCTGAGTACTCCAACCCTCCGAGTGGTGCTTGTTTCTTGACTGGCCTGTCGTTTCCGTAACATTATAATGTGTCTTTTCACATTTAATTCTTTAAGTCACTAAGAATCAATTTTTGTGTGTGGATTGGGATAGACATCCAATTTCTTGTTTTGTTTTTCCGTATGTGTAACCAATTGTCACAACATTATTCATTGAATAGTTCAGATTTCTCACTAATCTGCAATGATAGCTCTCTCCCATATTATGTTTCCTTTTAGGCTGGAATCAAATCTCTATTCAGTTCCATTGATCTACTCATATATGCCCTTCTGCTTTAATTACTATAGTTTTATAATAAGTCTTGATATCTGGTAAATCAACTTTCCCCATCTTGTTCTTCTTCAGAGGTGTCTTGGCCATTCCTGGCACTCTTGATTCTTCCATACACATTTTAGAACCAGCCTGTCAAGTTTCACACACATATACATACAAGCAGGGGAGGTGTGGGAGTTGTATTAGAATTTCAATAAACCTATGGGACAAGTTGGAGAGAATTAACATCTTTATAATATTGAATATTTTTGTCCACTAAAAAAATTAAATTTTAGAAATTTAAAGTTTTAAAATTTTATTCATAAGGGTCTTACCTATCTTTTATTAAATTTATTCCTGAGTACTTTTATCTTTGTGCTGTTGTTAATTATATCTTTCTAAGGATTATACTTTAGGTTTCTTGGGGTACGGAAGTGCAATTCACTTCTGCATGTTGACTTTATAGACAACACCATTGCTGAATTCCCTTGTTAATTAAAAACCATCTGTAGGGGTTTTTGGATTTTTGTGTGTGAATAATCATATCATCTGCACGTATGACAGTTTTGCTTCTTTCTTTCCAAACCTTATAACTTACATTTATTTTTCTTATCTTACTCAGCCAGCTAAGATCTCCAATGTAAGATTGATTGCAGATTCAGAGTAGTGTAGGAATTATTGCATAGACTTTGGAGCCAAATGCCTAAGTCCAAAATCAAACTCTGAGACCTTGGGCAATATATTTAACTTTTCTTGTAACTCAGAATCTCAAGTTAAATTATGTCTAATTACTGTTCTTCATATAGTTGTTGTAAGGATTAAATTTAACATATGTGAAGAACTTAGTACCTGGTAACTATTAGCATTTTTAAATTATTAATAAAATAAAAATAGTAATAATATCCAGTATCCTTCCACAGGTCCTGCTTTTAAATAATATTTTACCATTAAATATAATGTTAGCTGTAGTTTTTTTGGTAAGTATCTTTTTATCAGGTAAGGGAAGTTCCCTTTTAATCCATCTACAACTACTACTGTTAGTACTACTACAACTAATAGTGAGGATGATAATCCTTAACACATATGGTATTTGTTATGCTTTTAACCCCTAAATTTATTGACTCTCTTGAGTATTTCATGAATGAATACTAACTTTTTGAGTGTATAGTTACAAGTTTTGACAAATGTATTATATCAGTCCAGCTTATCCTTAAAACAGATGCCACTATTGCCACAATGCGATTAAACATGCAAGGGCTTTTTTTTTTTTTTTTTTCCAGGGCAACACTTGTAATAGAAATGAGAAGGGAGCCAGGAAAGGCCGGGAGAGCTCTCTGATCACAATGCAAGCCTGATCCTGAGTGGAAAAGAGAAGAAAAAAAGGTTAAGAGTGTCCTTGAATGCTAGGAAGTCTAAGGAAAGGTCAGCAAGCAAGGCCTTTGGGAGTCTTTGAGCTAAAGTTGACCTTCTAAGGACCTTTCACTG